TCTGAACGATAGTTGAATTGATCATTGCTCCAACCACTGGCTCGACGAGTCAACTGTATAACACACAGAGACCAAGCCTCAACCTACTACTCAAAATATCCCAAATGACCTAAAGTTAAACTTGGTCAAAGTCAACGGTCAAAAGTCAAAGATCAACCTCCAGCTGGTCACCACGTCATGACCGCTAAACGACAAAGCAAACAGATTCCTACCTAGTCGCCACACCGTGGCAACCTAAGGCCACGTTGTGGGGACTGGTCTAAACAACTTAATCCATTAAGCCATTTTCCTACAACTTCAAGAGCTCTAAAGCTCAGATTTGGTCCTTCCCATGGTCTTGATGGATAAAGTTTCCAACTTTATCCATTAATACACCCTAACAAGTCAAGATCTCAAACCTTCATTCCTTAAAGGTGACTAAATGCATAAAGTCACCCATTAAGCACCCAATCTCTAGAGTTGTCCATCCAAGGTTTCCAGAATGGTTTCTTACACCTAATAATCCATAAATGAAGTATCTTTATGGACATGCATGTCCAATGCATGTCCCTTCTATTTTAGGTAAAAAAAAAAACAAGGCAATAAGGAACTCAATCTTGAGCATGGGACCAAAAACTCCATAGATTCTCAGATCTGGAACACATGGCACTAAAATAACCACATGGATCCATAAAGTTGCCAACTTTATGAGATCCAACCTTCCAGTTCCTCACACCATGAAGATTTTGGGACAAAATGGATAGATCTAGAGATAAATAACATAAAGATTGGATCTTGGGGACTTAAAAGAGTCCAGAAACATGCTCAAGGTAGATGAGGAGAGTTTCTTGCTGAAACAAAGCTCAAGGGTGCATTCTTCTTCTTCTTCTTCAAAACAACACTGGAACACCCAAAAGCTCAAAGGTTAGCAATAGAGGCTAGGGTTTTCACTTTTCACTTGGAGGCTGAGGGAGAGTGTGTAACGCCCGTAGATCTGGGCTAGTCAATTTAGAGAAGATAAGCATCAAAGTGACTTTTTGATAAAAAAATTATTTAGATGAATAATCTTAACTAGGTTGTAGTGGTCGTGACAAGGATTCCAGATATATAAAGAATGCCGAAATCCAAGTTATAACGAAGAAGTTATGACATGTCGAAGTTTCGCGACAGAACCGGCACGACACAGCGCGACGTAAAAAGTGAATTTACGTTAGAGCGATATTTTAGCCTTAGCGATCTAAATAAAAGTCGTAGAATACGTTAACCGAGAGCGTGCATGAAAAGAACGTCCAAATCTGACTTCGTATGAAGAAGTTGCGATTTTTCTAAGTTTCGACTTAGCGGTATACAGCCCAAATCTCGAAATTGAGATCGAGTGATATTTGGCCGAAACAATCTAAACGAGAATCGAAGATCTCGTCGATAGTAGTCCAATGGTGAAAAGACAAACAAAAACGGACGTCAGATGAAGAAGTTATGAATTTCTAACGGAGTTTTCCTGTCCCGGCCTACTAAAAATAATAAAATAAAAATAAAGTCAAAATTAGCCGACGGAGTCTAAACGAAAGTTGTAGAGCATAGTCTCACCTACGCGTGTATATAAAGAACGTCAAAAACGGAGCTCGTATGAGGAATATATGAATTTCTGAAGTTTTTAAATAATTAAAAAATATTTATAAAATTATAAATTCGGATAATATCTGAAGCCATGACACGTCCGATCCTATCAACCCGGTACGCCCAGCGTACCCCGGTCTTGTGTGGTCCGAGAGACGGCCACGTAGCCCCATCGAGACTTCGCCACCTGGCAGCCTCATCCGAACTACGCCCAGCGTAGATCTTCGTACGCCCAGCGTACGCATGAAAGAGGCATTACGCCCCGCGTACATGGAAGTTACACCCCAACGTAACCCGATGACCAGCAGCCTATAAATAGAAGACGATGGCTGCCGATCTTGTTTGCTAATTTTCACTTCTCTCCCCTTTTTTTTCTTTCTTCTTCTTGGCAATTTATACCCCCGAAGCCCCGGTATCAATCCCGACACCCGAAGTAAGTCCTGAAGCCCCGAAGATCTCGAGAAAAATAGTTTTCGAGCCAAAACTCTGCCCGGTGAAGCTCGGTTTTGGAGAAAACGTCCCGGTTTCATCGGAAAAGATTATTTTAAGAGACGAGGTGCTGTCCGATCATCGTCTTATCATGTGAGTGTGTAGTTACTTTCTTCTACCACATAGATATGAAGTATTTGCTATGAAATACGTGTTATGTGTTTATACGTTGTTTGTTAATTGAGATGGATGTTGAATTAATGTTTTATACAGGTTTTAAAAGATTTAAACTGTATATTTGTTTGCATCTGCAAATATGTTGGGTAGAACATGGGTAGATGAAATAGTTGATGTGAGACGAAATAATAAGTATTTTTGAACTCAACGTGTTCATTAGGTGTTTTTGAACTCAATGTGTTCACTTGGTGTTTTTGAACTCTATGTGTTCGTTAGGTATTTTTGAACTCTATGTGTTCACTTGGTGTTTGAACTCAACGTGTTCATTAGGTATTTTTGAACTCTATGTGTTCACTTGGTATTTTTGAACTCAATGTGTTCATTAAGTATTTTTAAACTAGATGTGTTCACTTGGTGTTGTTGAACTGAGTGTGTTCACTAAGTGTTTTAGAACTAAGTATTCACCAGATGTTTTGAATTAAGTGTTCACTAGGAGTGTTAGAACTAGGTGTTCGTTAAGTATGTTGAACTAAGTGTTTACCGGTTGTAATTTGAGGACCTTGGCAGTGGTGGACTTTGTGTCAATTCCTTAGGTCAATCCTTAGGAATAAATGGATAAAGGATAGTTGATTCTTAGGGTAAATCCTTAAGAAATAAAGGAGATAATGGGAATGAGTAATTTGGATTGATTGATTGATTGATGATTGAATATAATAATTATATTATTGTGGGTCGAAAACCCTATATGCTCACCAGGCTCCCAAGCCTGACCCACTCAGTTTTCTTTGCATTACAGGTAATGACACAAGAGTATAAGTTGGTGGACTTGACGAGAGATTTTGGATTATAGATCAGTAGTTATAAATAACTATTGTAAGGTCTATTTTATACTGTTTATGCTTTTGGTCTGTAACGGAACATGACATCCCGAGATTTTGTTATTTAATGAAAATACATTTCTTTAAAGAAATGCTTTGATAAATTCTTATCATATTTTGTTTGGGAACAAATTCCGCAACTCTTTTAACCAAAGGACTACTCTGATTTTATAAAACAAATCATAAACAAATCGGTCTTTTCTGGCCGTGAAAATGGGAATGTCACAGAGTGATTGAGATGAGGGTGGGCAACCGTAGCCATCACAATCCCTTAAATAGGGGCTCAATCCCCGAATTAGGGTTTGCCACTAAACAGCGGCCACACCGTGGCTCTAGCTTAAAGCCCACAAAACTTTGGCCTTGGCCACGCTGTGGGACTCCGTCACCAAGCCGTGGCCACCAGAAATCCAACATCCAAAATATAAACTTACTTAAAAGAAACATACACAGCAGGTATAGTACGGGGGCATGTCACGCCCAGACTAAGGATATGTCACGCATTTTGTGTTGCGCCGCCGTTAACTTTGACCTTGAATGTGATGTGTGGCGTTCATCTCCTAAGCACATCACACTTCCTACAAACAACAGATTGCAAGAATGCATTCTGCTAGGGATCTCTCCTCCTTATTGTGTTTAGTTTGTGAGGACTGCCCATATACAGTTGATCATGCATTTAGCACATGTCAGGTGGTGGCGCAACCCAAACCTTAATGAGGATCGATCGTTAGTGAGATATCCTTATTCTGAATAAGGTTACAATAATAAATGTGATGTCATGGGTAGACTTATTATCCTTGTTTAGTGCCAAAAGAGTGGGGTTTGAAGCTATTTTGTACAGGACATTGTGGAGCATTTGAATGTATCAAAACACCTTAATCACCCCAACAGGAACCCTTCACCGAACCACACGATTCTTTCGCGAAGCCCGCAATCAGGCTATGAACGATCAACATAACAATTGTTGATGCAAGAAAAAGAATCTTAGAATATAAATCAGAGACAACAATAGCAAAGACTAATCTAGTCTTTCATTCTAAAAGACTCATAAAGATAGTATTTTTTTTAATAGTATCTTATCCGTTTCCTCGGTTTGTGCATACATTTTACAAACTAAAATTAAGTGGTTAGATTGTTTGATTACAATGCCCTATCCTAACTGTTACTTTATAATTGTTTTTTATACCTTCTTGCTAATTATAAATTGCATCCGTTCCCCCCAAAAAAAATAAAAAAAAAATAAACAACCCGGTGCAATTAAATCAGAATTAAATGAAACGATGATCATCTTGGGCCAAACAGTGCAGGTGTTCTAACAATGTACATGATAGACAAATATGGAATTAAATATATAACTTTAAAACTAATATGAAAAAATATATGTTAGTCGTTGTAAAAAAGTACATCCATAAAAACGTGATATAATTTAATTGTATTTTCACTTTTATGCTAAGATATGTTGCTTCACTATGTACGACAATTCCCATGAACTACACTGACATTAATTTACTAGTTACTACTAATAAACTATTTTATATTGTGAATCTTTTATTTAGAAATAAAATTATACTTTTTAATAATTTAGTAACAATTTTGTTGTGAGACTTCTTCAACCCCAATCTACACTTCAAAAACTAATAACAAGTCCCAAAAAAGTAAAATCAAACGTAGAAAAAAAAATACATATTGAAAAAGTCAAAAATTGGTCAAATTGATGAGCATGCCATGCCAGATCAGTCTTTTGGGGCCATGGCCCCACATCATTCCACCCCGTGTGGACCCCACCCACGTTGTTACGTTACATTTACAGATCAGAATGGACGGTCACGATCACACAAGTTCATTGACACTGACATTTCGTTATAGCATGCATAAACAAACCCTACCACTCGAAACCGAAAACCTTTCTCCTCTTCTTCTTCAATGGAGAAAGTGAAATTGATGTGCAGTTATGGAGGCAAAATCCACCACCGTCCTCACGACCGGCAACTGTCGTACATCGGCGGCGACACCAAGATCCTCACAGTCGATCGCAACATTAATTTCTCCACCTTGCTCTCCAAATTGAACGCTCTTTGCGAGTACAATTCCGAAATTCGATTGAAGTATAAGTTGCCTGGACAAGATCTCGACGCTTTGGTTTCCATTTTTGATGATGAAGACGTGGATAATATGATGTTCGAGTATGATCTCCTCCGTCGCATGTCGCCTACACCGCCTCGGCTACGTCTGTTCGTTTTTTTCGCGGTTGCGCCGCCGACGCCGGTCACAGCGAGATCAGTGAATCCGGATTTTTTGTTCGGTTTCGATAAGGAATATTCGCTTAATTATTCAGCGCCGGTGAAAAATTCTGAAGATACGGATACAGTTGTGTCACCTCCGGAGAATGTCGGTCTAAGTAACGGCGTTCCGGTGCCGATTCATGAAATTCCGGCACAATTTCCGTTTAACAGTACGGTGACACCTGGCAGTTACGTTTACCCAGCGCCGCTAGTGTACCAAGCACCCATGGCTTCGAGCGGATATTTCCAGGCTGGACAGCACAAGGGAGGTGGTGGCAACCGGGAACAGCCGGTGATGTACGGCTTTATTCCGGGTGGTAACCGGGAACAGCCGGTGGTTTATGGTTTTATTCCGGTTATGCCCTCAGCTGCAGCACAAGAACAAGGGAATATTCCGATGAGTGGGAGTCCACTGAGCTACGATGCATCCAGAGGGGAGTTCCAACTTCCAACGGTGATGATGGCGAACAATTCGAATCATGATTCTTCTAAGGTGACCCCTGGATCCCAACATGATGCTTGAATTAAGGGTATATTTTTGTTCATATTCTTTTTCATTTCGATTGTTCTTAAATTTTGTGTTCAAATTTTGGGTTTATTATGTTTAATTTGTTGAAGTGTAGTTTTTGTATTCAAAATATAGTAAGATCAATGATGACCCCTAAAGTTTTTCCCAAATAATCAATAATTACTCTGTTGGTATTTGATTCCATCAGTAAATATTAAACAATATTTATTTTACTGTATATTTGAATATTCGTAAACAATGTATAAAAGTTCAATTAATTTTTAAAAAAATTAATAGAGAAAAGATAAAAAAAAATGCTTTTTTGCTTTTATGCATTTGGCTCTTTGTAATACGTGTCATTTCTTGGAATTAACACGTAATACAAAAATAAAAGGCCTTTAACACTTTGGAAGGGAATGAAAGCCTTATAAATTTAACACTTGATGACAAAAGAAAGAAAAAAATCTCTAATATCTTCGAAATCTTAAGATACTTACGTATTGATTTTAGTTACATTTCACGTTTTAAATTTATTTCAAGTTATTTTGTAGTAGACGACGTTAAACATGAGGTACATTTACAAAGATTTATAAGGAATATAAGGTAACGTCGATAAAATATATTTGTGACGCATAACATAATTATCAAGAAGACTAAGATGGTGTTTCGTTTTAGAAAATGATCTTTTTCTCGTTTTATGTGGGTGGATAGGCAAACATTACAAAAAGAATGTTACACATTTTCTTCTACAAACATTTTAAACAAAGAGCACAGTGTTTAAAGTTCACAAAGACTTCATTTTTATTTAATTCCAAGATAAATAAAGTCTTACATTACCCTTTTTAATATAATATGAAGCTAAATGCGGTAGGTATTATCAAATTTTAGGAAAGAAACTAAAATTGAGAACTAATTTTTAATTAGTCTTTCAAATAATATTAGAAAAACAAAGTTAAAGAAATCATACAATCTGTCACAAATAAGTAAATCAAAAATTGGATTTGAGCCAAAATTGAATATTTAGTTCTTTTGGAGACAACAGGTGGGCAAACAATTTTCGGCAATTTGTTAGAAGCTCTTATCAGTTGAGTTATTTTCGTTTGTTATGTATGTTTAAAGTTGAGTATTTTTCCATCCTTTTTATCTTTCTTTGTCTTGTCCATAAATGTATGGGCTAAGTCACAAGTATGTTTCACATATACCTTTCTCAGAGAGGGATTAAACCTCGGTTTCTCATGGTAAACAAATTGCCTCTTTTGGGTCGTACTTGTAGATATCTAAGATGCCAAATGTCTTGGAAACATACATTGTGTTAGGTAGATCCACTATATAAACATTATCATTAATCGTTCGCAAAGGTTTGTAAGGACCCTATTTTCCTTGATTCGACTTGTTGTATGTTACTCGTGGAAACCTCTCTCTTTATAGACAAACCATGACCTTATTTATTATCACATCAAATGTCTTGGGATGTCTGTGGTTGTGAGCCAATGACATGTACTTAGCATTAGATTGGGTAAGTTTCTCTCATACCTCTTCCTTAATTTTCTATATATCTTTAATAAGTTTATTGAATATTGTTGTCTTTTTTCCAATCAAGTCGATCAACCAAATCTACCCCCTGTCGTATGAGAGTCTTGTATACTACACCAAATGATGAGATCCAAGTTCACATGTGTTGATAGGAATCTAGAATTAATTGGCCCAAATACTATTAAAGCAAGAGTTATATCTAGAAGGCCCAATAAGGGGTAAAACAGGAAATTCATCTATGTTGGCTATGGCTAGGATTATAATAAATAGAGAGAAAGATCACAGAGAGGGATGTCTTAGATTTTTGTATGTAATTTTGATACTCAGTATCGACTCTAGGTTTGGGCTATGAGAGAGGGGTTTCCCTGTAACAATCGCAGATTGTGTAATCGTTCAATATATTAGTTCTATTTCATCATCTTCTTTCTTTCAATTTTTCTCTGTTTGACCCGATTTCATCAAACCCTAATTTCTGTTCTTCATCATTGGTCCGATCTGCCACGCTCTACCGTCTCAGGAGGATGGTCCAACCAACAGTTGAGACTCGATCTCAGGATTTCCGTTTAGATCAACATGCGGAACAGATTTCGAAGATTCAAGCCACTATCAATGAGATTCACACAATCATGGATCGTGAACGAGAAGAAGAATGTGAATTCCAAAAAGTGATGCTGACTTGGATGAAGCAATAGGATCCTGAGTTTTTCTCCGATAGTAGCAATTTTTCAGATCCGATTAGGAATTTACCAGAACCGGTGGTTGATGATACTTCTAGGGATACGTTGTCGGCATCTCCAATGGTTTTGGATGAAGTCTATCATGAATGCAGCGACACGCCGCCAGGAGATGAAGTATTATCGGTGGTTTATGCGTCGGAATTGGAATCCAAAACACCATAGCCGTTTCTACCGCCATTTCTATCACTAACAACGGTTGAAGAAACGTCTGACATGGCTAGCGATTTTTAATCTCATCTTCCTTCCGATGCAGTTCCAGTTGAGTTGATGGGTTTTCCATGTGTGGATAAGAAAATCGTGCTACTCGAGTTCTATGGATTCGATCCTTAGCAGAAGGCAAAATTGTATTTCAACATTCACGGTAATCCTTCTCTTCATCGTATTACCCAAATTTTTAAATCAGTCACATGGGATGGATTTCAATTTCATGCGTTACAACGTTATAATGGGTTTGAAATCAAAAATTCATATAAACCTTCGTTTCAAGGAAATCCCATTAAAGTGTCTCTTACATCACGACCATCTGGAAGTGATTTCCTAGTAGTGGCTCAATTCATTAAGTGTAATGATCTGGGTGTTCGACCTCTCCCACAGACAGAATGGGAAGAACGAAGGAAAAAAGGGTTAAGAGTTTGTGGTGGGCAACAATTGGGTGATGCACAACAGGTAGATCAAAGCAGTGTTGCAAAACTCGGCCTACTCGGCCGAGTACTCAGAATCGGCCCTCCACCGAGGCGAGTAATGTGAACTCGGCAGAAAAACTCGGATTAAGTCAAAATTGGTCAACATCTCTCTAACTCGGGCCTACTCGGTATTACTCGGGCCTACTCGGTCAAACTCGACCAACTCGGTCAAAATCGGTCAAATGGTCAAAATTGTCATAAAAAGAGAAAAAAATCAAGAATTTCAAGATTAATATGTACAATACACTTAATGATTTATTATTTAACACACACATGTGATTATTACTACTTATATATATCTTAAATTTTCAGTAATTATTTATGAAGTGGGACATTTGTGTGTATTTCAGTTTTTATGTATTCATATGTATCTAATTTTGTTATATATTTCAATCAAATTATGATTTTAACTTATGATTTTGACATATATAATTTTTCTAAAAAATATTTCTAAATGAATTACCGAATCCGAGTACTCCTCGAGTACTCTCGAGTACTCGCTACTCCCCAGTCGGCCAAGCAGGTACCGGGTAGCGAGTTCTACAACCTTGGATCAAAGGCAGTACAATATAGTCAATGGGGTCATATTGGATAAGAAATGGAAACAGGAACTTAAACACTATATGGAGGAAATACAATGTAGCATGGTAGTAATGAAAGGTTCATAATCAAAAGGCCTTAGACTCGACCTAGGACAATCAGATGACCCTCAAACACCCTTCTTTTCAGAAGTTTCATCACTAGGACTAATCAAATCACAAAACAAGTTACCCAGCAACCTAAATAATCCTCATACCCTAATGAATTCATGTGGTGATAGAATTATATCCCTGTCACTGGTACTAGACTCATATTCCAAACATTGTGATCAAGGTACTTATAATTCTGGAATAAGAGAAATAGTTTCTTTAGATTCAAGCTTTGTGGCAGAAGGTGAGTTATGGGTTGTTTATACAAGGAAGTTAAAAGAGGGGTTAAATTCTAAAGATAAATTCTATAAAGAAGCTTAGGGGATTCAACTTTCAAAATTCTATAAAAATTATAATTGGTCTCTAGTGCCAAAAATGATGGGGAAGAAAACAAATGAGGCTGCTCGACTGTTGATCAACAAGCCCCGAATTATTGATCGTCTTATCACTGAAGGCTTCTTGGTTATACTACTACAAAGTATATTTCATACGAGTCGCATTTTGCCAGGTTGTTTTGGAATTAATATCAAGCGAGTGGAAGACCATAAGGTCTTTATTGATCACCAAGGGATGTAACTGAAAGTCTGGGTAATTAACTATGAATATATTTTGGATGCATGAATATGTGATGAGGGACGTTTAGACATGGTCCTAGGAAGGGTTTGGCTCAAAACCTCATGCGAGGTTGATCAAATATTAAGGACAAGTTAGCAATATGCTTGAGATGTCAAGGAGTGTTGGCTCATCCTCAAGGGCGAGGCATATATCAGAGTTATCTAGTTTCTATCCAGAAGTGGGTTGTGTTGACCAACAAGTCCTTAATAGGCTTTTCATTACTTTCAGTTTGGATAGTGATGGAATCAGTGAGTCATCATCTTAGGGATCAGTGTCACAACTAGCATTTTAGCTAGGAAATTCTATTCCTGTGTAACCATTCAACTATTGTAAATCATATACTCTAAGTAAATCTCACTCAATGCTCATTTAGATTCATCAATTATGTTCATCAAAGAGTCTGAAGCCCTAAGAACCATGGTTTGAGTCCATATTGGACTAGGATTTCCTTATTGGGCCTAATGGACCAATAAGCATCCGATTCAACCATTTTGGGCTTGGAAACCCTATTTGGGGTCCAATTGGACCCACTTCCATAAAACTTAGCATTTTGGGCCATTTTGGGTCCAAAATAAATTAGTTTACCCTTAATGGGCCTGATTGGGCCATTAATGAATTAATTTGCCCCAATGGGCCATAAACTCCCTTTTTCTTTCAAAATGGGCCGTGAGCTATCTAATGAGCCCAATGGGCCGAAAATTTCATGTTTAGGTTCCAAAAATCCTAACTAAATGTTAATGGGGCCCAAACTACTCCACCCTTTCTCCTAGCCAAAGAACCCTCGGCCCATCATCAATTAAAAAAAATGAAAAATGAAATAGAAGGGGGGGGGGGGGAGTTGACTTTGGAGGTGCCACCTCCATAATACTCACCATCTATCTAGGCATGGTCTCTTATATTCCTATGCAAGTCACCTCACCACTCTCTCCTCTCTCTTCTTCTACTCTCGGCCGAGAGCCAAAAACACACCCACACACTCAAAAATCCTCTCCAAACATCTCTAAAATCATCCTCTTCTTTCATCAAAGATCTTAAGGTTTTGTTTGTGCTTCAAGAGTAATCTTCAAGGTTTCAACTTCTTGGTAAGTGTTTATTATATATAAACACATATTATCCATCTTAATGCTAAAAATCTTTTCTTACATAACCTTTTTTCATGTTCTAACTCATTAGAAGCCCCTAAGTTTGAAAACTACTCAAAGGAAGTTTGCTAGGGCCGAAAATCACTTCATCTCTTTCCATTCTTCTTCAAAAACCGAAACATCAAGCTAAGGTGAGTTCATACCCCCTTGTTTTTGGTTTTTACATGATTTTTGGGGGAGAATGCAAGTAAAATGTGTAGATCTATCTGTTATATGCATGTCTTGTGTGATTTCTTAGATTATGTTGTAAAAACATGTTAGATCTTGACAAATCACGACTTCTTAAGTAACATTGAGTTAAGATCCATGAACCAAGACACCTTATATATCAAACTATCAAGTTAAAAGTGTTATATGTCTAAGATACAAAACTTAAGGCAAAAACTTTATTTAGGGCCAAAATTGTCAAGAAAACAAAAGATAAGGGAAAAAAGTGACATTTATGTTTTTATAGGGACCAAACAGGTCCTATATGTATAAAAAGGTATTTTTATGTTAAACATACTTTAAAAAGGGCCAAAAATGCAAATTTAAGCTTAATGGGCCAAAAAATTTTGGGCCTCACGGTTTGGGCCCAAAAGTTGCGAAAAAATGAAGTTTTTAGGATTAGAAATGTTATTTGAGTAAAATTTGGGTCATAAATGTAAATAAACCAAATTTAGGGGTGAAAATAACATTTATTTTCAAATTGGACCAAAAATGTAAACTTTTCCAAAATTGGGCCGAAAGTGTAAATTTTTACAAACCAAGGGCTAAAAATGCATTTTTCTGCAAAAATAGGTCTTAGATGTCAAAATACATACTTTTGAACTAAAACCGTGAATTTCTAGACATTTGGGACAAAGTTGCAAATTTTTACAAACTATAGACTAAAATGTCATTTTTACAAAACCTTGAGCAAATCCCGGCATTTGGAAAAATATCAAGACAAGCAACCTAGTCATTACCATGTATGATTATAACGGCTCATGTTAGGATTCTATACCAAAATATTAATAATTCGGAGATAATTTCTTCGATGGTGTCAATACAAAACAATTTATTTAACGATACAAGAACCTCGACATTATTATAAATCAGAAAATATCGGATTTTCTGGGGAAATAATCACTACTCAACACTCGCTTACTTACAACACAAGGAAATCTAAATTACAAATATATATATATATATATATATATATATATATATATATATATATATATATATATATATATATATATACATATCACAACTATGAAATTCACACATGCATTATATATTTGATTTGCACAACATTTTCAAACATTTTACAGAAAATATCGGATTTTCTGGGTTTTTACGAAAGATACAAAGGCTTTTATTCAACCATACTTATGAACTCACCAACATTATATATGTTGACCGTTTTCAAAATAACTTGTATTCTCAGGTAATCGTTAAGCTAGAAGATTTGCAAGTGTGTATGGTTTTGTTTTATGTAACAGCACTTATCGTATTTTTAACAATTTGAACTTTGTATTTTAACAATGTACTTGATGTGAACAACGCTGGTTGTATTATGTAATGTTGGTGATGAATGTGTTATGTTTCATGTATATTCATTGTGATGATTATTCAATTGTTAGTCACACGAGTCCCCGGACGTTTCCGCCGTCTGGTTCGGGGGTGTGACAGGTTGGTATCAGAGCAATGTTTATAGTGAACTAGCATATCTAGCCATACATGATATGCAACTATAAACACAATGCGACTAAATAACTCTGAACAAAACAAAAATTTCACACTTATGTGCGCAAATTTGAATAACAATCTAACAATATCTAATAAAAGCTTCTGGAGGAAATTGAGCACTATGATTAAACTTGGGCAGTTATGTAGTCATATTATGGATAAATATAGCCTGATCAACTATATTTATTCAGAATATGATCAACATGTGTTCGGGAGTAATCATAGCAGGAAATGAATCCAAAAGCCTACCTCACTCTCCAAAAACTCTAGGGAACTCAAATCTAAATAATTAAAATATACTATAGGGATAATCAAAACGT